TTATCACGACGAAACTTCCTACGATTTGATCATTATAATACATATGGTTTTGAGTATGCATGCATTTCAATTACGAATATCAATGTATCTAGATTACACAAGACATTGAAAGGTAAACATTCAACCAGCTCGATTAAAAATAGGTACCAAATGTTGTTCATTTGGCTATCGATATATGTTAATGATGTTGCTAGGAGACAACTCTTTTTTTCGGTGATCATGATATTTACTATACTTTGACTCTATAGCGAGAAGACAAGTCAACGTCTCATAGTAACTAATAATATCCCACTTAAGTTATACATCGTGTTCCAGGATCTCAAAATATTTCTAGAACTAATGAAGATGTATAGATTAAAAAGCAACTAACGAGCTAAAGCCAATACTTATTGTGGAAGATAAAAATATATCCGAATAGTGGGCTCTCAGATTGAAACTTAGTATTAAGCATCATTACAACTACATTGACTGTTTGCTGTAGACAACTGCATTCGATGTATTTTTTGCCCATGATTATCTTCAATTTTCAGAATTTTTGAACTTCCTTGGTAAAGTCAAGTCAATTGGAGCTGGTCGATTTTCTGTCGACTAGTACTGACAAAGTCAATGAACTCTTGAAATCTGAGGCAATTTTCTAGTTTTGTAAGAAACTAGTGACAACCTTCTCTCGAAGTCATGCACTATCAGATTAATTATTGAGCATTTTGTTTCATGAAATTATAAGAACAAATATACCATTGGTACTGGTTTTTCATGAGTTTTGTCGAAAATACTTGATGTTTTCAATCGTCTCTTGATAGTAGCTCAAGAGAAGACAGGAGTGATAATTAATTCATAGCGTTATTGCTAAGTAAAACTAATTGAAGTATTTCTTCTACTTGTCTAATCAAAACTGAGTAACTTTAGATTTTTGCTTCAGTTCAGTTCCTCTACACTATCAAAGAAGTGTCATCCATCATTGCGCTCAGGTTATGCTGTGACCACACTTCAATACTACTTCCATCTTATCGAGCAAAAATGGCCGTCTCACTCCATCTCAATGAAGAGATATATTTTTCATTCTTCTCTCGATCGATTTTAGCTAAGCTCATCGGCTGAAAATCTTTTCTCTTCATGTTCATGCTTAATGCATGTTAGCATAAGCGAAACAACAAAAGGATGTGAAGCATCTCTTTTCAAGCCTTCAGTTACAGTTTGATGCATCGTATCGGACGATCACTTCGAAGTCAGAATTGCTCATATTTGATTCCGTTCGATCGTCGACGAACTCCATCGCTGTTCTGAATCGAAGCTGAATACGTTTTCTGAAGAAGTCAAGTTATGCAAGCGAACAAACGAAATTAACGGCTTTTTCATGTATTCTTAGATTTCAGAATACGTCAAATTTCGATTTGAAAGGATGTATCTGAACATTTGCATGATTATCGAAAGAGATAGAATATACTAACGCTGAACGTATCATGAAATTGATTTATTCATATAAACGAACCTTATAATGAGCAGACTGAACAATGATGAAAAAGTATTGAAAGAAGGGAATAAGATGTTTTTTGAATTGTGATGTGCCTACTATTGACCATTGATTATGACTTTGACTTTTAACAATCAGCTCCAGATGTTTTGATATTGGTATATAGCATTTTATCTATCGTCTCTTAAATGATTGCGAGAAACCTGATGTCCAGATCAGACGATCAGATTACGTAGATAAACGAGGAAACATTCAGGAAATAACTGCCACAAACTTTCTCATTAGAAAGTAGTGCTAACGCCAACGAAAAATTTTAACGACATGGGTCAGGTTTAGGGCAGATGCAAAAACCATCCGAATGCTTTATAGTGACTAATAAAAAATCTAAACATGCAAAAGAAAGGATTCTAAAAACGAGATGAGTTAACGAAAATGTTTTTGTCCATGATTTTTCTCGATTCCAAATGTATCAAGGTTATTTGCAGCATCTATATAGTTTCATTTTGCGCCATTTCTATATGAAATTTTCTCTCGCAGATCATACCTCTACTCAAAAACTCATGAAAAGTTGACATCGTCAGTATTTGACGATCTCCTCATCACCATCACTCATTGCCTCACTCTCGCTTTCTCTATTGACTCGATTCTCTATAAACAAAGACGTCATAATGAACTCCGTCAAGTTGTAGCCAAAAAGTTTCCATTTTGAAAATGTTTTGGTCTGAAAGCCCTTAATTTAAAAGGTTCCATACTTTTTGGTCAGAACTTTAAAAGACTGAGTATAATACATTTTTAGAGGGTACTAATTGCGAAAATTCTTCAGAAGCTTTGGTTAAAATTCAAATTCAATACTTCACTCTGAACTCTGGCACATTATTCTAAAGCAGAAAAATACTTTTATGAAATTGTTTGAACATAGGCTACTATTTCTAGGATGTGTTTGAAAGTACAGTAATTTATTGTTGGGCTAATTTGAATATTAATAAAACTCTTTTTTGCCATTGATTATTAGTTCGTTATTGGTGTCTTCCGATAGATGGCTTTTTAAGTTGATTAAGCTAAAGTTGTCTGATGGAAAATGCAGTGACTTGCTCTTTCTGTGTCAATCTAATCGAGTGACAGAGGTTTTAATGGCACGTACGAGATCTATGTAGAATTAGGAATTCTTTTTCTCTGGTTGGCATAGTGACTCGCTGCTGAGAAGGACATGAGATGTAACCTATGAACATACCAATCGATGTCGATTGCTCGAGTCGAGCTGCATGGCAAGTTTCGACATCCTGTTGCATGTTGACAAAAACAACGAGAAGCTGTGGAATGACGACAACTCAGTCTTTTTTTTGACTAAGATGCTCGACAGTGCACTATAAGTACTAATGAAAATTTTATAATCATGTTTTCATTGCAGAAAGCAGAATCTTATTTGACTGATGTGTAACAGCTTGTCGATAGAAACGTCATTTTCCATTGTAAGTGGCGTTTTTTTTCTTTTTAGCAAGAGTTGAATGTACATTCATAACTTCAAGCTAATTGATTGGTAAATTGACTATAGCTATGAAGTTTTCATGAGTACTGCATACGTAAGTGAAAAGAAAAAACACAAGAAAGAATATTTTTTGTCGTTTTCTTAATCAGCATCTTGTTCCACATATATTCAAATTGACAGAAAAGGAAGAACATTGATGACATTCTTCTTGGAACCGCTAAATCCTTCAATTGTTTTTGTTACAGTAAAGTCAAGAATAGCTATTGAGAATGTCGAAAGTGTTAGTTCTTTCATATTATTTCATTGATTTCTTAGCTAACATATGTACCCTTATGTCCATATAAACTCTGATTTTGTCATCTTTGTACACAAGAACTGGTATTGATTGAGAAATCGATTATATTTCATCGAGAAAAGCATACTTTTATCACCACCAAGCCCTATCACTGACTTACATTCAACATTAAAAGCTAAAGATTTGACGGGCCACAAAATACTTGATCACCATTCCTCTTTCGACACAAAAACTCTTCGAATGATTCCTATTGGAAGGGATCGGAGCGAATTCTTTCGATGTCATGATATACTGATCAATATTCGGACAGTCCTTTTCTTTGCGTATGCGAGTTTTTTTAAATGTTTTTGACCATCATTTGCGAAGAGAAATCATAGAGAAAAAAGATGAAAAAACATTGCTTTTTCTCGTAAAGCAGCTGTTTTTCAAATGATTTCCTGCAAATTGATGTTTCTCTTCTATTTTGCGTTTCAAACGTATATTTGAATACTCAGTTTGCTGTCAACGTCATTTAGGAAACAGTTTTTCTTCAAACATCATCAGTTGTTTCTCGCCATTACTGTCATTAAGTATGTGAACGAGCAGAGAAAATGAGAGCGAGAGAGCAAATGAATAAGTGCAAGAAGCATAAATTAGAAAAACTGTTTGCCACACATGATGCAAAGAAATGAAATGATGCAGAAAAATCAGGATCGATGAATATTGATGAACTCAAGTATAAGCCAGCCAGTGTCGTTGACGGTGTCGAAATTACCACAGCATGCATTACCAAGTAACTTTCAGAGCTGAGCAAGTAAGGGCTTTCTCGGATATGAGTACGGCGAAAGTTGCACTCGAGAACGAAAATTTTGAATAGGATTAATTGAAAACATGTGTTCAACGCAGTGACAGTATTTATTGTCGAATATCAATTGGTAAACTTTTAGATAAGATCGAGACTAAAAGAAATTAGCTGTCTGTTTCAAGTTCGAAGCGTAGAAATTGCTACCTATTACTAGGCACCAGTCTCGAAAAAATTCTTTACTACTCATGCATAAATTCGATAAAATAAAAAGATGGAAAAAACTTGTGTATAAGATAGATAAAAGTTTTTAAAATGTCCTTCAAACAGACACATGCATACAGACAGACGATAAGATTTAGTTGCCATTTCTAGACCTTATTCTTTGAGTCTAAGTAGAAGGTCCTCTTGCACTAAACTAAGTGTACTTAGATAAACCCAAATGGCATTTAAATGTCGTTTTGGAGTCCAGAAAAAAAGGTTTACTTAGAAAACTAAGCCACCATGTAGAATTCCCGGATGTAGAGATATACAACATTGTCGATAACGATACCGACAGATTTGAAAAAGCATTGAGCACTTATCACAGTGTATTTCCTAGGAAGAAACGACGACATTCATCAATGAGAAGAACCGAAAAATTAAATAAAATGCTCAGTGATATCTGTAGGTATGAAATACGGTTGGCAAATGCTACACGAACTACTAATGTGATTTTAAATTAGACAAATGCATTCACAATGGATCTTATCTTCGCACTGCTTGCAGATGCAAAGCATATTTATTTAAAGGAGAAGAATAATTTTTCTTGACTGAACACGAGCTTTTTTCAATTTTCATCAAGTGATCAACTCAATGCCGTACGATAGTAGTATTTTACTCAGTGATAATAAATTTAATTGTAACAGTTTGAACCATGCTTGCATGTTGTGCGTCGATTAGTTTTTGTTTATTGTTATCTTTCACTTTAAGGGTGATAGTATTTAGCTCGATGATAATCACTGTGGTCATGACAGGCAGAACCATATTTACATGATGTGCGTTGATGGGTTCGCATTTCTGATTTCTTATCACTGTGAGAATGGTAGTATTTTGCTCGATGATATTCGCTTTGATCATGACAATCAGAACCATATTTACATGGTGTGCGTTGATGTGTTTGCAATTCTTGTTTCTTATCACTATCCGCATGATAATATTTTGCTCGATGATAATCACTGTGATCATGACACTCAGAACCATATCTGCATGGTGTGCGATGTTCACTCTGCGTTTGCCCACTCTTTCGTGTACGATCAGATGTTGTAAAAGATTGTTTTTCACGCTCATGACCTTTTCTACTAGAGGGAATTTCCCAATTTTTTGCCTTTTGAAGAATACGTTTTGCCTGCTCAATGGTCACACTCTCTTCTTCTTGTAGACCATAGTCCATTGCAGCAACATTTGTGTTTGAGGTTGGCTCCGTCTTTTTGTATTTGCTCTGTATATCAGCCATATCGAGGCACTTCGCATAGCATTCTTCAGCATCCTTTGATGGCACCCCAGCTTCATTTTTCATTCGATTAACTTGCACTTTCTTCGAGATGAAAACCTGTTGAAGCCGTTTGGCTGTTTCTTGATCGTCAACTCCATCAGAGGTTGCCTTTTGTATAACTTGAACAATGTCTTTCCGAGAACTATTCATGAGACGATCCAATGATATTTCTTCACGCACTCCAGCAATAATCATTTGAGCCAAAAGATTAGCATTCACCATTGGAACGTATTGTCCACCAGTAATGTGTGCAAGTGCCATAAAAAATTCACGATATGGTACTAGCGTCGAATAAGTAAATGAACATTGTTTATATGCGACGAAAGACAAAAAAGGTAATTGCTCATTCAGAAACAAATTGTGCTTTGAATAAGGAGACAAAATTAACTTTTCGGGAATAATATTTTTCTATAGATCAAGTGCAATTTATACATATTGTCAGACTACTTGAAAAGGACATCTAATCGAGAAAAAAATTTAAAATTCGTCGAACAATTGGAAAGGTCGAATGTGGGAGATATAAAAAACTGATTCAGTTCATTAGATATTTTTCAATACAAAAGTATCCAGTGATACATTGGAAAAAGTACTTAACATGGTGGACATTTATTTACAAAACCCAAATTATTCTCATAATATTTTCGAAGATTCGACCATTCGCTAAACGAGCAAACCCAAGCCACGAACATGATGAGACTTTTGGACAGTCTTATCCTATCGAAAAAGTCGATAAGTATGTTGTTGGTCGAAAAATTTTTGTCGACAGGCAGCTGGTCGAAAAGCGTTTCGTCGACACAGCATATAAAAAAAAAAGGGTGTGGATGTCGGTATGGGTGTGCGTGGGGTGTGAGTGTCAGTGAGGATGTGGGTGTGCGGTGTGGGTGAGAATGTGAGGGTAGGGTGGGGGTGTCGGTGTGGCTATGGATGGGAATGCATTTCTACCCACACTCACACTCACCTACATCGACACCCACACTCATACCCACCCACATCCACATCCACACCCACACCCTTTTCTTTGACATGCTTTTCGACGAAGTGTCGTGTCGACGAAATGCTTTGCTGCAAAAGAAATTTGACAACAATTTTTCGACAAAGTTACTTCCACGAAAAGTCTGCCGACTAAGGTGTCGTTCGACAAAAAACATAGCATTCGAAATGTCACATAAGTACGAGCTCCACCAAAAAGTGTATTCGACTGTCCTTCACTCAGACTATCTTTTCTAAACATAAACTATCTTGTCAATGAACCGTATTATCGGCAACTTGTGTATACATCGACTCGATATCGAAGAAAACATCAGCAAACATATCCATCAATGCCTTCGTTGGATTCAACTAGATTGTCTTTTTTTAATTTCTATTATGCCTGGTTAAATGATTCTTTGAAGCAATTATAAAACGATATTGATCCAATGATCTAAAATGCTCAACCAGTATAATATCTCATACATGTATCTTTTTGAAAAATTTCGAAAACAGTTACTTAGCATTTTTGTCATTACACTGAGTGCGAGTGCTCCTAGGCATAACAAACAACCTTAGTAAGTGTCTTCGAAGTTTTCCAAAGAGATGCATGTACGAGGTGTGATATTGACCGGGCATGTTAGACCATTGAATCGATATCGTTTCATAACCACTTCAGAGAGTCATTCAACAAGGTATAACAGAGTTTCAAATAAGATGGTCCATTGAAAATCTAAATTATGCTTGTAAATATAGCCTGAGTGAAAGACTGCACTTTACTTATAGTCAGAACACATGCTTCTGCAGCTTTTTCGATGAAATGACACTGTTGATATGTTTCATCATGTTTGTGGCTCATGTTTCGCTTGCTTTGTGAATGATTGAATCTTTCAGGATGTTATGAGGATACTTCGAAATTTGTAAATAAGTGTTCGGCGTTTCAAGTCCTTTTTTCTATGTATCACTAGATGCTCTTGTATTCACAAAATACCTATTGACTAAAAGTATCTTTCTGTACGATTGTTTTCTTTCAGCAGGACTAAGAGAATGAAGTAAACTATCGAAGACTTGTGAAATCATAAGAAAATTCAGAAGTTTCGCAAATAGTATATAAATTGTCATTCAATTCGAACTGGCACAAAGATCAGTACTGCGCTTAAGCTTGAAGAGAGAACTTACCAATCGGTGGTTCAACGCCCACTACATAGAGTGTAATATGTTTTTCGGCCATCTCTCTAGCGATTTTAAGTGGATCAAAACCAAGTGGACATCCATCAGGAAAATGGTCATCACATTGCTTAAGACCGTGAGGAGGTGCGTCTGAAATGAGCACGCAAATTTTGGTAGCCTCTGAACGCCAGGAAAGTTTTAAAATATCATGAAGTGCGTCGGCTACTGCCTCAGGCGTATCACCACCACCTTGGGCACTGCACTGTCCTAACCAGTCTTTCATTTCTTGGACTTTGTCAGTAAAATTGTGCACACATGTAATAAACGTAGTGTCCTAAAAAATTAAATTTCGGCACAGTAGCGCTGGCTTAAATTCATTGCACATACTAACTTGTGGTGGGTGATCTCGGTACTCTACTAGTGCTAACCGAATTTTCGTCATTTCTTTTGATACGATTTCGTCGACAATCAAACGAATGTTATCAGTAGCACTTTTAATGTATGAGCCCATTGAACCCGTACAGTCCATGGCGAATCCAAGATCTGTGTGAATATGAAAAATTGAATGTAACTTGTGCTATCAGTTCTGTGATGCTTACCGAGGATCGATGAATCACGGTTGGTGGCCATTCTCTAATGTTGTATATACTTGTTTTCAATCAAAAATAAGCAAAGTACAAAAGAAATCAAACCGTTTTTATGTCCTCATATATATATATATATATATTTAAAGGATAAAATGCATTTCAGACGCACTTCTGTGGCGTTGAAAAAGCTGCAAACGAAGCACGTCTGACTGCAGCTAATTACTGCATCCGACATAACCCAAGGGGGTAAGTGCTGGCACCCAGCACCGAAAAGTGCTGGACAGGTGCTGAGGTGCTGAGCAGGTGCTGAGGTACTGAGTAGGTGCTCAGGTGCTGGAAAAGTGCTGAGTAGGTGCTCAGNATTTAATGGTATAAATTGCATGAATATTTGTATTTAGGATATTTGTGCGGTTAAGGTTATCTATAATTAATGATAATTATGGGTTCTCCCTTAATAATTCAGGTAATCAGCATATTATTTAACCCTTTGAGTACGACGAACCTGTTCGTCCTAATATCGGCCCTATAAAAAATTTTTTAATCGAACCGAGCTATATTATACCAAGCGAAAGACCTTGGCGAGTTGAGCACTTTTTGTGACGGAACTTAGTCTTTTAAATGAAACCATGAAGAATTCGGAGCGTGACAACGACTAAAACGATTGAAATTGCACAAGTTAGCTTACCCAGAACTCTCCATGATTCCATTTAGAAGGCGAAATTCCGTCACAAAAAGTACTCAAATCACCGAGGTCTTTTCTTTGGTATAATATAGTTGGGGTTTCAAATGAAAAATTTTTATATGATCGATTTGCCTAGCGACCGACCCCCGTCCTATTGACTATGTAAAAATAATCCCGGACTCAAAGGGTTAATATATTGGTTTTTTTTCTGATAAATTATGCATTAACAGTTGCTGATGCATTGAAGGAAAATAATGTACGTATGTGCTTGACATATTGATAACTAAGACTTTTCGAATGATTTCAAGTTCACTGTAATCAATAGCCAAATGCTTAATTTTCGAAGATCATCCCTAATATTGATCGACACCACTACGATTCTTTTTAATTCGAAGAATTCTTTCGAAAATGCAAAGGATAGGCGTTTTTAGTGTTTGCGATTAACGGCTTCGCACTTACAAGACTTTAAAAACGAAAAATGAACATAACAGGGCGACCTTACAACTAGTTTATATTTTGAACACAGCTATGTGATATGCAAAAGAGTCTTGAGTTAAGAACAAAAAATTATTAAAAATAGTGTCAAGCCAAAGGAATTCGTGCTTTGCCCTTGTTTGTTTGATAGATATCCGACAGTTCAGCGTATATCATGGAAATGTCATTCATACGACGAAGAAGTGATTCACGAGCTTGATCAAACTTTCCGAGACTTTCAATCATCTGAATAATGTTGTAACTGCGCCAAAATGAATTTATACGATTGTAAAGTGGACGGTTCTTCTCATTGTTTCCAAAGACCTCGTTTAAAATTTTGATGTCATGTGGAATGTTGAAGACATCGCGGCTGTCCTCGTGACTGAAGAGATAATAAAAATTATCATAACCACCCCAAGTTATGGCCGAAAGACAAAGAGAGCAAGGCTCATGCGTGGTAAGAAAAATGCAGTCTTTTGGATCGGGTAGATTCGAGCGATCATTTATTTCGTAGAGTTGTTTGATTGCATACATTTCACCATGCCAAAGCGGATTTTCTACTTCATTATTGGTTTCGGCAATAAGAATCGATAGGTCAGACTTTTTGAGGATGGCAGCACCAAATATTTTGTTGCCTTGCGCGACACCAGCCCGGGTTTTGGGCAAAATATCTTGTTCGATAACAGTCAAAAGACGATCGAGTAACTGAATATTATCCATCTTAAATTGATTTCAAGGATTACGTGGTTAACATAAGCACCTATGTCGAACAGAGACTAAATGAGTGCATAACAACACTGACAAAGAATCTACAAAATGTGCATCACGTTCTTATTGTTATGCAGGTTTAAGGTATGTACTAAACTGATCTGTTTCAATTCTACTATTTTGAGCATTTTATTCAAGTTCTCTCCATATGCATTCCTTTAATGTATTGCGAGAGTTTGCATCCTCTACAAAGTAATCCTGTCACACACATAGAAACATCAGGTTGTAAATGAGACTGTTAGTTTTAGCTATATCGAAAAAATAAACGTAGGCTGAATGATGAAACGAAAAGAATATCATCATTAAATAATGACTTTTGACAGAATTACTCGTACAAAACTTACTGAGCAAATTACAAGTGAATTCAAAACAAAGCTGAAATGGAGTTTTATAGCCTATAAAGATAATGTAAAATGCTGCTAATATCTATTCTTCACAAATTTCCACTATCTACACTGGAGAGAGTTCTCATGTCTTAACAGTCAGATAAGGAATTTGAAAAAAAAAGAAGATAAACATACTTGCTCGTATGGCTCGTTTCTTTTCGGTATCCATCGTCAACAACCTAATATAAGTCATTTGCTTTTTATTCTTCGTTAAACAACAAAATGACACTGTCTTTACAACAAGAAAAGACAAAATTTTATGACGCAAAAGACATTATTGTAATTTTTGGAGCTGTACCACAAGAGATCACACTTCTAGTTAATGCCTTAGAAATGAGTGAAAAAAAGCAACTATGGGGTATTCCATATTGGCAAGGGAAATTACATGGTCAATCTGTTGTTATTGCTATCACTGGTATTGGTAAAACTTTTACTGCTATGACGAGTACTTTATTCATTAAAAATTTTCAACCTCGTCTAGTATTAATGACTGGTACAGGCGCGCGTATCAATCAACAAGTACGCACTGGTGATATCATCGTTGCTACACATACCTATGAGCATGATTATGGCAGCCTTACCACAGACAAGGATATGGTTTATCGCCCAATGAACAGCCCAGATGATGGCACAGAAGTAATTAATGAATTCAAACCCAGTGCAACAATGTTAGGACTTGCTCAAAAATCCATTGAAAGTTATCCACCACAAACAATATTTATCGATGAAAATATTTCATATGACAATAGTGTTCGTTTCGGTGTCATTGCATCATCAGATTTATTTGGTGTACCGCAAACACGCATTGATTTACTACGCAACCATTTCAAAGTTGATATTATGGAAATGGAATCAGCACCATTTGGCCATGTGTGTCAAACTTTTGGTGTACCCTATTTAATTGTACGTTCAGGCAGTAATATTGCACAAGAGGCGCCCAATAATGATTACTTGCGTTTCAGCCCAATTGCCGCTTTAGAAGCAGCGAAATTTTTACTTCATCTCATTAAGTTTCTTGATTCAACAATATAAATAACTACTAAGTAGTAATAATTTAGAGTAGAATTTGATCAAGCAGATAAATTAGTAATCAAAAATATATGCAACTCACATTTCAATCACAATTTAATTGCTGAAGATCTAAATCATTTTATATACATTTTCAGCTATGAATGTAGATTAGCATCACTACGTTCGTTTCGATTGCTTTAGAGAGAAGGACATTATAATAACTGAAGTTGGTTTATACTATAAATCACACAATCTGAAAAAGGAAACATCTAATGAATCAGCGAATACATCATCATGTAACGCTATGAGTAAGGGCGATGCTGCAAGTGTGTCGAGTACGCCATGATCCAGATTTCGGTCTTGCTTTAGCTTCTTCCTCAAATGGCTTTTTTGATCATTTTGAGTGCAATTTTAATTTGTGGGTTTGGATTGTAGGTGTGCATACGAGTCTAGGTATGGATGTGGAAGTATGGGTGTGGGTGTAGGTCTTTCCTTCTATGGTATGTTAAAATAGACTAAAAGAACAATGGGAAACAAAATTATAGAAACAAACATCAGAGCGACGAATCATTTGCCTGATGATGACCGAAGTATAAGGTTGAAAGCTCGCAATTGTTGTTTTTGTATTTGTTACTTGTAAAGCTTCAATTAAAACAATAAGATGATTTTTACAGCAATTCTTTACTTCATTTTCTCAAAATTAAACATAACTACTTCAAGAAAAGAAGAAAATTTGATGCATGGAAATTCATATGAGCCGCTTTTTGTTTCATGACAAATTAAATTTGATAAGCGGAAATGTTGGTTGCGTTTCTCTCAACCGAATAATACGGAGGCCATTCCCTTGATTCAGACAAACAATTACTTAAAAATGATGAGGTGGAAGTAACAAAACTTCGTTTTCTTCATCATAAAATGAACGTGATCGAAAATTTTTATCTGATTCACATACAATGCTGAAAAAAAGTTCTTATTTCTTGTGTTCCCAAGAAACGCTCATTCTGAAGTGTTCCAATCGATGTCGTACGCGAAAAGAAATCCCAGAAAACAATTTTACTTCCACGAGAATATTGAGTAGAAAAATCCAATTTGACACGTCGATAGACAACATGATGAGTTGATGAAAGTTTTTGAAGAGCATGGATGACAATTCGAAGACATGAAAACCATGTTTTTCAATGTTCGCGCATGGTTGCTCGTAGAGTAGCATTCAGTATAATATAGAAAGATTTCTTTTATGGTTTCCATTTCATTGTATAAAGTATGATAGATGCAGACTCATCAGCAGTTAAACCATTCTTTACATTATTACAAGTCTGCTTCGAGATTCAAAGCATTGTTCGATATCTGGAATGAGTGAGACAAGAGAACTGATAGCGTCTTCAAGATAATCAAAAGATTTGTTTTCCAAACCTTGAATCGGTAAAAGCATTTGTCGTGGTTCAGAAGCAATATCAGAGAACCGATGAGTATGTTTAGGTTCATCAACATTCTTCGGTATTTTACTTGAACTTTGAACTGAAAAGAAATAAAGCATGCCTTAGAAAACATCTACGAATAATCTATTTGACAGTTAACAAGATTCATTGGAAGTAAAATTTTTAAAAGATGAAAGTCAAAA